ACCCAAGTTTTAAAAAGCACATTGTGCATATAAAAGTTGAGTTTATATTAATAGTACACAATGCTTAGCAGCATGAACGGCTATGTACAATGACGTATACGAATGCGATCAGATACTAAAACGTCATAGCTTTGAAAAGTACCCGGATGTTAAATATGTTCGTTCGTTAATTATTTCCCTCCATGAATGGCCTCCATGGCAAGCACTTCAAATGCCTATCCAAGCTACAGTTATAATTAAAACAAAATTAAACCACTGCAATATTATTTCGAATACAGTTTAGAATATACACAACTATAAATTAAGGCCGCATTTAGGTTCGCTTTAAAATGGCAATCATTCAGCTATTGTTAAGCGGATCATGAAACAAATGCACATATCTATTTGTGACATGATGTACCATGTGTGTGTGAAGTTTGAACTTGATCAATCCAGACACGTCTCGGATACGGATCCAGAACTGAATTCTTTAAAACAAAATGGCCGCCAGTCGGCCATTTTGAACTTGATCCGGGAAAAAAAATGATGTGCATCAAGGTCCTATTATGTTTAATGTATGTACTAAATCTGAACAAAATCCGTCCATGCATAACTGAGATCCGGATTCGGAATGGTGAAAATGTGCGATTTCAATGCATTTTCGGCCTTAAATCGGCCGCCATTTGGCTATCGCTAATGAGATCATGAAACAAATGCACATACATATTTGTGACATGATGTACCTTGTGTGTGTGAAGTTTGAACTTGATCAATCCAGGCATGTCTCAGATACGGATCCAGAACTGAATTCTTTAAAACAAAATGGCCGCCAGTCGGCCATTTCAAACCTGATTCAAAAAAAAAAAAAAATGACGTGCATCAAGGTCCTATTATGTTTAATGTATGTACCAAATCTGAACAAAATCCGTCCATGCATAACTGAGATCTGGGTCCGGAATGGTGAAAATGTGCGATTTCAATGCATTTTCGGCCTTAAAGCGGCCGCCATTTGGCTATCGCTAATGAGATCATGAAACAAATGCACATACATATTTGTGACATGATGTACCTTGTGTGTGTGAAGTTTGAACTTGATCAATCCAGGCATGTCTCAGATACGGATCCAGAACTGAATTCTTTAAAACAAAATGGCCGCCAGTCGGCCATTTCAAACCTGATTCAAAAAAAAAAAAAAAATGACGTGCATCAAGGTCCTATTATGTTTAATGTATGTACCAAATCTGAACAAAATCCGTCCATGCATAACTGAGATCTGGGTCCGGAATGGTGAAAATGTGCGATTTTGATGCATTTTCGGCCTTAAAATGCCCGCCATCGGCTATCGTTAATCGGATCATGAAAAAAATGCATGTGCATATGTCCCATATAATGTGTGATGTATGAGTGAAGTTTGAACTTAATTGGTCCATGCATGTTCAAGATACAGGTGATCACGGACGCACACAGGGCAAACCATAAGTCCCCGTTTTCGAACTACGTCCAAACGGGGACTAAAAATGGCTGCCAGTCAGCCATTTTGAATCTGATCTAAAAAATAAAATGACATGCGTCCGGAACCCATAATGTCTAATGTATGTACCAAATTTGAACAAAATCCATCCAGAAATGCATGATATTTGATGATTATTTAGCACAAAAATAGCCACCATTTGGCCATTTTGAATAGGATCGTCAAACCAATATATCTGTCTATCTATGACATGATGTATAATGAATATTTAATATTTGAACATAATCAGTCAAAACAAGTCAGAGATATGGGTCTAGAAGCCCATTCATTAAAACAAAATGGCCGCCAGTAGGCCATTTTGAATGAAAAACAAAATTATTTGCATCAAGATCCCATAATGTCTAATGTATATATTAAGCTTGAACAAAATCCATCTGTAAACTGCTTGATTTTGATGATTTTTTAGCACAAAAATGACCGCCATCCGGCCATCTTGAATCAGATTGTGAAATAAATTGATGTGCACATATATAATATCATGTATGATGTATGTGTAAAGTTTGATTATGATTGGTCCAGACATTTCTAAGATACAGGTCCGAACACACACATTCACGCACAAGGGTCAAAACACAAGTCCCCGTTTTCGGACAGCGTCCGAACGGGGACTAATAATTAAACTTTTTTACCTTAAGCTTGTCTTCTAATGTTTCTCTAATCTGTGTTATCTTCTCATCAGTTGTAAGTTGCAGCGCTAAAACTTCATTGTGTAAACACTATAAATATTTAAATATAACACATTGAGCTAATACATTGAGCTTACACATGCATCAAAGAGCACCCCCACTGCTATGAATGATGAGATACATACCAGGTTATTTTGTCTTGATCAACCAATTTCTG